TCTATATTCTACTCTCTATACTCTATACTCTATACTTTATATTCCTACTCTATTCTCTATACTCTATACTCTATACTTTATATTCTATACTCTACTCTCTATACTCTATACTCTATACTTTATATTCTATACTCTATTCTCTATACCCTATACTCTATACTTTATATTCTATACTCTATATACTAATACATATAAGAATATTAATATATATATTCAAAATGTTTTCAAGATTATGAACGTTTGGAAATATATCAATATTTGATATTTTTTAGAGAAAGAGAGAAAGAGAGAGAGAGAAGATAATAGGAAGAAGGAATTTGCTTAACCCCAAAGCCTAACTTTGATATTCAGACGAACGTATGGGGATAATATAAAAAGTAACGCGTTCCTCTTAACGTATATGCCAGTGAGACCAGTGTTCATCCGCTATAGCTAGAGGAAAACCCTTTTAGGAATGCATAGAATTTTACAGAAGCATCGTGTCCTCGCATTCATCGGTCCACGCGTCTTGAATATTTTTCCAATATTTTTCACTTACACAGGGGCGCGAACCTCTCTGGAGGCAGCTGTCCCGAAATTCTTTTCTTTGTACATTTTATATATAATATATATATATATAATATATATCTCGATGAAAGGCTGCACGAAAGGCTGAATAAATCTCTTGCCTGGTTGATCGATCTACAAATTATTAAATATTATTATTAATACGTGAAATATAATTTATTTTTCTTCTAATAAAAGTTCAATAGATGACAAAAACAAAAAGATTTTATCACGAGTATAATTTTCTTTCTTTTTTCTTCTTCTTATTTTTCTTCCAGTTTTAATCAATTTTTAATTCCATCTTTGCGGAGTATCACGTTTTTCGAAGACTCTTTCCCATATTTTTGCCTTTGTAGGAAATACTTCGACCCATGATATTTCCACCATGGGATGGAAGAAGAGGAACCAAGAAGAAATTTATTGTCGAATGTTGCTTTATAAGCTGGGCTGGAATATAGGAAAAATTTATCACGCTTTCATTCTCTCTCTCCCTCTTTCCTCTTTCCTACAACATTTTTCACAACTTGAATTAAAATTCTTCCAATTCTAACTTTTAGAACGAAATGTATTTATAAATTTACAAATATTGTATTTTATTCGCAATTTTTCTTTAATTTATCTTATCGAATTCTACAATTCTACTATTAAAATTTATAATCTTGGAATGATAT